CTCGAGAGTTTAGAAATTCACGAGTGTGTGTGTATGTTTTAATACTGCTCAATAAGTCTTCATGATCGTTGACATTGAGTGATTCAAAATACAGTTTCTGAAAATTGGACCACGAGATAAATCACTAACATTGAAAATTTTTAAAGCAAAATTGCTAACAATGTGATGCCTGTAGACAGGTGTCCCTTATATTATGGCCCACGGTATTATAATGCGTTTGCTTTATCCAGGTGTTTTCCCACATGTGCGCAATCGCTAGATCAGTCAAGGAGGTTGATAGATTGAGCAGTTTGCTTAATTTCTCGAGGTATATTGACATCAAGAGTGATGTAAACATTACTCTAACGAGTAAAGCCCGGTTCATACTTCACGCGAAAGCTTGTGCGAAGCGAAATTCATGTCGTTAACAATGGTGGACGCGCTTCGAAGGTATTGTTGACGTCACGAATTTCGCTTCGCTTTCGCTTTCGCGTGAAGTATGAACCGGGCTTAAGCCGTGCTTCGTATTTTCTCTATTTAAAGACCCTTTTTGGTTACTTCTCCAGATTAAACACTGCTGATTCTACTACGCTCGCAGCGATGCAAATAGTCGGTCTATATACAGATGCATGATGGCCCAGTACAACAAAATTTACCGGTTGTGTTTTCGATGAATTTCACTTTGTGAATTCTCGTTTGGTAGATAATCGCCGCAAGCCATTAGACCTGAAGACACTTTGAGCAGTATGAAATTGCTGTGGGAACTGCTTCTTAAATTTCCATTGGCTGGAAGAAATCTCGAGTGAAATGTTACACCGCGTCTCTTAAGCTTTCCGCCGCCCCCACTGATTGCCCAAGGTCCAAACCTTTCAATCTACTTCTCGGTCTTTCCAATATTTTTGGCAACTATAGAAGTAGGCCCCTCGGAATGATTGTGCTGATGTTGAGCCGAATATAGCCCCCATGATGATGTTTCATGTTTGCGTTTATATTGCCCGCGCTGCCCGAAGCGCATCTGGTCAACATTAAAGGATCGTGCATGTAGTAGAATAGTTATAATGGCATTCCCCAAAATGTGTCCCATTATCCTTATTGTCATTTTTTCAACGTACTTTTATAAAACTTTAAAACCGTGATAAAAAATGACGATTTTTCTTTTGAGGTTCGTAATTACACAACGAAAAACTCCTCGGAATGCCTAAAGTGACGTCACAGCAACAGCGCCCTCTGGCGAAGACAGCGTTGTAAATAGTGGCAAAATGTACCTTCAAAATGTTTTAACCAAAAAGGAGGCTTCCCATTATTTTTGTTATGCAATTCAGAAGCACGAATAATTATTTGCAAAAATAAACGCTTTTTAGTGTAAAACTTCATCACCTCTTTAAGCCAGTATATCGTGTATTGCATATAACAACGATACGTCAGATCTTGTTTTCGTCGTGAACATGTTCTTTGCCGATTTACGGCAGTGTCTCATTTCACACCCCATCGCCTTCGACTGATAATTTGTCCATTACTTTCCGGCTTCAGTTTTCACGGCCATCAGCTCGACACAGCCCAGAAAACACGGGAAACAAGAACGAGAATTATTTCGACAATCTGGAGAGACTGATTGGGGTGGTCAGATTGGACGAGACCGATGCAATCTAAACGTGACTGAGATATGCAAGTTCATCACCGGACGGCCTTCAATTAATTCAGGATCGCGCGTGGATGGCCTGTGGTAAATAATCAGAAAGAAATCGCCATCGTAAAGGTGCGAAAAAGAGGTCTCCATTGGGTCATCAGGTTGGAGAAGGGACAGACACCTATCGCCTGAAATTCTACGACAGGACCCGATGAAAATGTTGATACGGGTTACGATCATTATAACGAGACATGTTTCCATGACATGCTTTTTGTAATGTTGTTATTAAATGAGCACTACGGCATGAAATCCCCGAAAATTTCATGTTTGGGATGTTTTACCTTTACTATTTTAAAGATCTAGTTGAAAGGAAACTAACCTAATGTCTTGCCGTTCCAGAGAAAAGACGAAGAAAAAACCCCGGTTGTTTAACATCGGACACGACGTATTTGCTGTCGTTTTCATTCAATGTATGATACACATTGTGTGTGTCACATAAATTACACACAGCACCAATAGACAAAATGCTGTTTCTTACACGTCCGCAGAACGCGGCAACTGTGCGGCTGGAATCACAACCTACAGCAATGAACAGCTCTATTTTTCGGGATAAAATTGGACCCCAATTCGCTCTCGCATGGTTCTCGCAAGAATGGTTGTGTGGACGTTTATTGTCCACTTTAATATGCTCTCTCTATTGATATAATTTCCTTAAAAACGCGTATTATAGCCCAATTGGGCGTATTAAATATCCCTTTAACGACTGTTTAATTTCCCAAATATTCTATTTAATTGGTTAAAGATTCTGTATTCAAATAGTGCCATTCATTAATCGTAATATTTTCTTTAGTTTTTACTTGTATTTTCAGTATGAATAAAAAAAACACCTTGAACTGAAACCCTTACCTCTGTCAAACTATGGAAGTGTCTTCCATTAAATTTGCAAGTAAAAATAGTACTCTTCGTGTCGGTACTTCAATACTTCTACACTGTACTCTAAAACGTCGGAAATGAAATTTTCAAGAATATCTGCGGGCCGCGTCACGTCAATGCATCTGGTTGGTTATACGCAGTGTTTCCAATATCTCGCCAGACTTGCCTGCGGGGTTGAAATGTTGGACAACCTAAGTGATCTGATACCAGCATTATGGAAAATACATACATCAGTGAGACGGTATGGTGTTATGCCGCCCCTGGCTTCTTTTCCGTGTACATTACCGCTCCGTAAATCGATTTGCACAACATCCCTGGGGTATATAGGTCGGGTTGTCGATTGTACGTGTCCATTATGCATTTTCGCGTTAGACATTACTGAAGACGATATCGACTTTCGTCGAGACTAAAGATCGAAATAATGCAAGCCAATTACACAATTATTCAACTTGCACAGCTTGCACTTTTTAAAAATGTGCTCATAATCATGGTCAAAGTACCGGTATCCACCTCTAGCAGATTGGGTATACTGCGACAGAAATGTGGACGTATCGATACGAGTGGTTTCTCCAGCAATCAACAAGTGTCTTTAAGATGCAGTATCATAGCAGGCGCAGATCCAGAGGGGGGGGGGGGGGGGGGGGGGGGGGGTGTCAACCCCCAGCTCTGTCAAAAAAAAAAATATTATCATACAAATTCTTAAAAAATAAGTCGAACCCCCCCTCCCCCCGCTGTGACCCCCCCCCCCCCAAATATACTGGTTTAATGTCCGCCTGTTCAAAATACGGCACACCATTCTGTAATCTAGTGTTAATAATCGTCGAATTTGAACAGCGCCCCCTATTGAAATATGGTACTAGCGCCCCCCCCCCCAAGTTTTTGATTTTACGGAGTTTTTGAAGTGTCCGGAGAAAAAAACCTGTGTACATTTTCAGATTTTTTGGGCTAATGAAACCCCCCCCCCTACGAAAATTCCTGGATCCGCCCCTGAGTATGTGTTTCCATGGTGAACTAAATGCCCTTGCAGTGCGCATGGAGGTCATGCGCAAAGATGTGATTTTAGAGGGGTCATGTTTTCATCCTCACGGAAAACCAGTTGTATTCGGCGCGGGTCGAAGATGGTTGTAGATGCTTAACAAATAATTCGTCTGGAATAGCTCACCGACAGCGGGCGGCCTTCACAATATTTTACGCGATCACCGATTTTTTTTTTCCACAAAGTATAATTAGCCTGAATTACGCCGGTCTCTGAAGTTTCTTTTGTTAACAGCGCCCTCTGTGTGTTGCGGAAATGCGGAAAATGCAATAAGCCACTTTTCGGTCTAATCACACTTAAGCAAACTGATCTCATATCATAACGAGGGGGGGGGGGGCGAATGCGTGAGGGTATTTTTATCTTTTAGACAGGTGTACGTAGCACTGCTATTTATATTTCGGTTTACATTGTTTCATGATAAACAGGGCTTTACGTACCGAATTAATACGTAACATTCCACGTCTACACTCGTTTTCAACTAGCCTATAGGGAGCTGATGGTCGATTCTGGTAAGCAGCATCCAACCTCAGTTTTTGTTAATATGTCACAAACCATCATTTGTTTTCTGTTACTAACTTTGCATTGCAATATAGTTATAAATTCCTATCCTTAAGTCGTTATCCAAGCCTTAGTCTATGGCCGTGATAAACATGCAGCCAACTTCTGTAATTCTCCTCCGATTGATGCATACGTATGTATATGTACAAGAGTGCTACAGCGACTGAATATTTTTGAGCCAAACATGTCGGTGTGTAATAAGTTTCATACAGACTGAAGGTCACAAACGCATACGGTCTTGTGTGCAGCACAATGACTGATTTGCCACGGAAGCAACAATTCTGAGCGTGACAGACCATCGCGATCATATCATGGACAGGTCAGTGATTATGAATACGGTGGCTTTTCCCACAGTCATATGCAAATTAATATCCTATAAAGGGTTAATTGGTACATTTTTGTTGGCTTTCAGTTTCACAACGGAAAAAAAGGTACAATGGCGTGAATACAGATTGCAAGTGAAGATTTTCACTGCAATACCATAATTGTAAATATGATATTAAAGTTTCTGCTTTTCCTTATCTTACAATCATAGGGGTATTAAATAAAAACAAACACAGTTAAGAATTTGAATCATCTATGTGCATTAATTCAACAAGTAAGTATCGTAGTGGTCAAACGCGAAGGTAAAAAGATGTGCAAGTTGCCATGGGAATAACGAACATGGCAACAGGTTTACTAATGACATAACAACCAGGGTATCCATGACAATCAGTGCAGAAGATAATCAGTCTTCTCGGCACTAATAGACTCTTGCAGCCGGATATGCAATGTTAAGGACTTGCACAAGCGGGATTTGTTTGCCTTCCTCCTTCAGTTAGTTAGAGCGGATCTCCTTATTACTGCGTCATAGAGTTGCATCTCATAAGAGACCCGGTTCGACCTGTGTAGCAATTCCTCTTCCTTTAAGCTACGTTTTGTCTGGGGTATAGGGTGCGCATGTACTGTGCAAAATGACTCAGTGTCATACGATCTGGGGAAGTATTGTCGGTTTCTAAACCTTTGATGAGAGGTGTACACTGTAGCTTCGTGTTCAATTGTAGGTGGTATCATGGAGCTCCATGGCCATGGTGGTATCAAGGTATGTAAATCATTCTCAAAACGCCGATGAATTTATACACCAAGTTATTTCAAAGGGCATCTAAGGCCAAAAAAAAAAAGTCTCCGGTTTCTGGTATGCGCGCGTCGCCGTAGCCATGCGCGTCGGCAAAATGAAAAAGTTTTTTTTCAATGAAATATGATGTCTCAAAACCGCCAAACTCACTGGTTTGACTGGAATCCTGCTGCTGCACAATTTTAACGTGTTTTTAGATTGGGTTATGGTCGAGAATAAGGTTTATGTGGCCTCTCTGGACTCCCATATATTTGCACTAAGTTTAGTCGGGCACCATTTGCAGTCATCAGCCGACATTTGAAGCAAAAAAAATCAGGTACAAAAAAAAAAAAAAAGCCGCGTCGCCGCACCACATTTTGGTCAATCTCCATATCAGAAACCGGAGACTTTTTTTTTGGCCTAATGGCTAATCATCTCAGGTCCAGTACCCCGACTGCCTGCTATGAACTACGCAACGGGGTAATATGTCGCTCTTCAATATTTTAATACTATTGGCGTGGCAGTCAATATTTAGATATATGATTAAACATGCTGAGTGGAGGTCATGATTGAATGGCAAATATGTACGGATCCCTGGAAGCGACATCCACCGTCGAGATACATATTTATTTCATCTGGGCATTTTCAACATATATCTTTTTGTGGGTGAACTTGACGAGTCGACTTTGGGAAATGATTTTTCAACTGGGTGATGACAGTGTGAGCATGGAGGAAGGAACACAAATCGTCTTCTGGAGATAATAATGTGAACGCTTTGAATGTATTTGAATTGTATTATAGTTGGTGCCGTGACTAGCTGGCGTAATTAAGCAGTCGACAGGAAGACAACATACTTCTTTATTAATGTAGGCAACTTAACAATGGCTTAACATCGTAAATAATTATATATATATAAATATATAGATCATCTTGACATGAAATTTTTCAGAAAGCTATAGGCCACAATTAAGGCACATCCGGAACACCATAGTTCCAAATCAACCCATTATGACCTTTGTCCCTTCTTATAGGCCACGTGGTAAAACCATCATAAAACACTCAATACAATAAAACATCTACAATATTCCACGGGGCTATTTTATAGCTCTGTGGTTGTTCGATTCATTTCCATAATATACACACTGCTTCTGCGACAGCCATTTTAAAAAAATAGCAGCAGGTATTACTTGGTGTACAAAAAGTATGTTTGACTTTATGCATAGTAACCAACAATGGGTAAGTACAATCGTGTTTTACGTTCGCAAAGGGGGAGGATCAAAAATGCAAATATTTAATAGAAGAGCTCATTGGATTTTGACGGCATAAATTGGCAACAGCTAGCTGCTTTGGCTGGATCAACTCAATGGCAGACTGACGAAAGCATATTTTGCTAAACCATATTGTACAGATCGGGTTGATGCTGTAATTTTTATATGATATGCTCGTGACGTGACGGCTTATTGTTTTTGCACTAGTGTGATGAAGGCACGGTTTGTTCTTGCTTGATCACTGAGCATACTTATCGCCATTAGAATCCGCATAATTATCTCCGAAGCTCGAGGAATTTTGTTCAGAGACACCATGGCGTCAATTAGATGAAATAATGTATACTATATAGGCCTACATACTGTCATTGCGTGAATCCATGCAGTTTTCATTTTACATTCCCCCCCCCGAATCATAGGAGGGAAATTGTTTGCTCTACTTCATTTTTCTGGGATTGAAACGTCAGGCCTGGATTACTGTATAGCCTATTGTAACCCCGGTCGGTGAGCTGCTTGCAGTGCCTTTTCATTTCTGATGCTAAAGGGCCATGCGCTTTCTCAGGAACACATTTTGTGCAACTCCTCTTAAAATGTACGAAAACTATGTGACATGCCTTTTTGGTTAATTTTATTAAAAAGTGCACTTCTTTAAACATTTAAACTTTTCCGGACAACTGAGGGCGCTGTTGCTGTGATGTGATTTCAGGAAGACACTGTTCAATTTTTGGGTGTTTGTTCAAATTGTTCAACCAAAATTTGCTTATTGAAAATGAGAAAGGTTTACACAATAATCAATCATCGAACAAAAAGAAAATTTACGACAGCATATTATCCAAAATTCTAGAACTTTTTGTGCTGCAATTGCTGTAACGTTGAGGTTTCTGCCTGGAATGACATCACAGTTTTGCTCATGAATATGGAAATTCGCAATTGCGTAAAAAAAGGCACCAAAATACCCTTCGAAATGGCAAAACGATTGAAAATGTGGTCAAATCGGACACAAAGGTGCATTTTCTAGGATAACATTAAAGCAATTACAGTGCATAGGCCCTTTAAAGGACCAATGATATGTAATATTTTTAATGTAATTTTGAAAATGCACCTTTATGTCCCATTTAACCATATTTTCAATTTTCATTTTGCCGTTTTCAAGGGTATTTTGGTGCATTTGGTGCACAAAATGTGTTTCTCAGAAAAATTCATTTCATGGCCCCTTTAAGTTGGGGTTGTTAGCCTTTTCGAGCGCGATCATAGGCCTACACATGAATGTTGCCTTTTACCTTACGTTTCATTGATTTATTCATGTAAATACAGGGATGAAGGTGGACAAGAAGACCTGTGCATATCTATGGGTATTCACAGCTGCTGTCATCTGTCTGGTCTCGTTGTCATGGAGCATCCGGGCACCAGGCAATATCCTCAGGAGAAGCGGACAAGACGGGGACCAACCAAATCACGGCGAGGTTCACTCCAATGTTACAACCGAGGCCATTAATTTTACGAACTATAGAGAGCTTTTAAAAACTGCATACGACCAGCGGTACGAGGGTCACATAAACCCCCATGACTTCAGCCTCGTTCTGGACGAGCCTCTGGCATGCATGGAGTATGAAAGAGGGCGCCCCAGGAGAGTGTTTCTGCTGGTTTTGGTCGCCACTTCCCCGGCCAATTTCAAGCGGAGGCAAGCCGTCCGCGAAACGTGGGGTAGCCCAGCGGCACTGGACGGCCGAGCCATTGTGACTCTGTTTCTTCTCGGAAAGACGGTGAATTCTTACTTGTACAGGAATGTCTTGAAAGAAAGTGCGGAGCACCACGATCTCCTGATGGAGGACTTCGCGGACAGATACAAGAACCTGACCCTGAAGACCATGATGGCCATGAAGTGGGCCAGCACCCACTGTCCGCAGGCCTCATTTGTCATGAAGACAGACGATGACATGTTCGTCAGCTATCGCAATCTCTTAGACTACCTTGCCGCCATGAGTGCTCCTGACACCGGCTTCGCCCTCGGCCGTGTCCTGGAGGGCAAGGCCCCCTTCCGGGACCCCAAGAGCAAGTACTTCGTGTCCAAGGAGGCGTACCCCGGAGATGTCTACCCGCCGTGGCTATCCGGGGGAGGCTTCGTGTTGTCCGGCGACATGCCTGGGAGAATCTACTCGGCATCTCTTGACACCAGGTTCCTGTATCTCGAGGACGTCTACGTGGGCATGTGCTTGCAGAAGCTCAAAGTCACGCCCATTATGAGTGACCGGTTCAATAATGTGCACATCGGATACTCTTATTGCATGTTTCGGTATCTCATTACGTCGCATCGTTTTGACCCCGAAGAACTGAGAGCCGCATGGAAAGACATGTTGGTCCCGAGAACTTGTTGGTTTTGGACATGAACTAGAACTATATCTACACAAAAACTGCCTTGTTGATTTTCCACGACGCGTACACGGGGCCTTTTTTTCTATTTATATATACCATTGGCTTTCTGGCACCTGAAGACATGCAATCTATGCAATTATTTTGGCGCACCAATCTCACCGAGGAAACAGGGTACAATTGTATTTGAAATGTACAATTTAAAAGCTTTTTAAGATTTCAGTATTTGAGCGAAATGGCTGTAGTCATTTCTTGAAGTGGCCGCTGATAGGCCATGGTGGATTTTCAATTTTAACATGGGCTTCACATCTGCTCGGAAATTCAGGGGCAAGTAGCTTTAATGACCGTCTTGCATTTTACCACTGCATTTACGTTTAAAAAAAATTATTATATGTTATAAAACCTGAAGTAATAAAAAAGACTAAATGTCAACATAAATTCTTTTCAGTTTCATCTCTTTTTAGAATAACAGCTCATGCTTTATCGGTGATTTCCGATGGCAAATATTGGCTTACGATTGAACCTCTTCCCAATCACAGAACCAAAAAAACTGAAAACGTCACCTCCTTTTTATTTGCACCGTTAAAACCCTTTAAAGTATTTCCAAAGGCAGTCGGATCCATCTTTGGCACGGGGGGGGGGGGGGGGGGGAGCTGTTTTGGTGGGGGATTAGCAGGCATATGGAACATGATTCTCCGTGTGATTTTCTATTATTAACCAAGATTTCCAAGCGTGCAATTATTGTTCGACTGTATACAGAGGGCGCTGTTTATGTATCATGCTGTGGACAGGACATCAGTGTTATGGGTACATCCCAGCAATAAAAGTCAAATAGACACTAGTGCTGAATGCCCATACTTCAACATTCTTTTAAAAATACGCAGAACTCTCACATGTTTTTAAACTGCACAGATCAACATGTCATCTTTCATTTTCTTTTCATTTTTTGGTGGGTTGACAATAGACTTTTCGAGAAATTCTCACCCAAAGAAGAGGACCTTATTTTTCCCAAAGTGGAAAAGTAGCAATCTTGAAAAACGATCCCTCCACAATATAGCAAAATAGCCAGAGGTTCATTGCCATATCTCTTCAATTCCCCAATCTATTGACTCTCAGAACTCTCTAATATATAATACTTTGAGGGTATAAATTTTATTCATGAGCTCGGCGGATGGGTCTAGGCCTATTTACAGGTGAGTATACCCTCTATATCTCTAGAGATAGATATTAATAGGAAGTACCTGCATGGCTGACTTTTCGTATCCCGGTGGGATGAGGCTTACTAATATTTCTCAACAGGAGTACGGTTAATCCTTTTATGGCAGCCTAGCATTGGTCTGCGCTGGTCCGGCTGCATGTGATTCAACCTGACATTGAACTCGTCAACAACTTTTTCCTGAAAAAAAAATTAAAAAATGTTTTAATGAACACCCTACTTTAAGTCTTTTTGTGTAGGGAATAAGTAAAAGTTAGTTTTGTGTTGATGACTGATCAGGATTTCTTTTTTCTTTTACTTTTCTTGCCAATGCCATTCAGACTTTCCCATGTTCGTGTCTATTAAATTATAGTCATGAAACAGCCGTCCGTATATGCATATACATGTGTCAGTCTGATTCCAACTCTACCCTTCGCGTAATTAATCAATTTCGCGTCATTGTTCAGTGGAATATATAAAAACGAAAGAGCATGGTCGCATACAATATTGTACTGTTCACTTGTTCATTTTTTGTACATAATTAAATTTTTACAGGGGACACTTGCGCGCTATCGCTAACGGAAGGATGCAACGATGCAAGGAAATTACAAAATGGCAAAGGAAAAGTTGAATAGAGCGGACGGAGCCAGCAGGCAGCACTCCTATGAACGTGGACAATTACCCGGGAAGCTCATTTGCATAAAGCTTTGTTACTTTATTGACCGCTCAAGGTGAGGAGCCAGCATATATTGTAGGTTGGTGGAAGACATGTTTCCTGTCCTTTTCCTTTGGCATAATGTCCATGTTCACCGGTATATGTGAGGAGTTGCAGTGAGTTACTGCCTGCGCGACTGTAAACGCGTGATGAATAGGGGTAAGTACGACGATGGATAATTTATAAGATAATTTATTAGTTGTAGTGTAGTTTTCTCATTAACTTGTTAGGATGAGAGTGATAATGTCATTGGTCAACAACTAGTCCGAAAAGTTGTGACGGAGATTCCCAAAACTGAAGGTATTGAAAACATGCAATACAAGAAAATAGACTTGCACCTGAAACAACCCGTCCAACACCACTTCAGTACTGCATCAACTGTGCCAAAAGAAACATGTGGCATGAACTGGGAAGTACTAATAAGTCTCTATTTACTTCACATTTCTGGGGAGTTGTTCCCGAAATTTTAATTCAACCCTATCCAGCTCTCAGTGCATTCTGATCACGGTGCATTTGAGTATCAGATTTAATTCGTAATAACGAATAAACAGTTCGTAATAACGAATTAATAATCCGTAACAACGAATTAAATAATCCGCAATTACGAATGAAATAATCAGTAATAACGAATTAATAATCCGTAATAACGAATTAAATAATCCGTAATAACGAATTAAATCATCCTTAATAACGAATTAAATAATCCTTAATAACGAATTAAATAATCTGTAATAACGAATTAAACAATCCGTAATAATAAATTAGTAATCCGTAATAACGAATTACTAACATATACTTGCAGTGGTGCTAATGGACAGTAATTTACTATTCTGAGCGTATGCCGTTCACTCTCTTACCAGCTTGCTGGGCCCCATTTAATGGCTCTGTTTACCGTTAGTTACATCCCGTAACTAAGGACATTGTGCTACTAGATCATAGCGCAGAATTTATCTGCTAGCGCGGTTAGCACACTGGTGATCGTAAGCTCACACAATTCTGTGGCTAGCAGAGCCATGAAATCGGGCCAAGGTCACATCACTGAACCTTTCAACATCAAATGCCATACATGCATGATTCCATTGCGCGAACGCAAAATATTCACAAAGCAACTCCCCCTACTGTCAGTGCACAAAAGAGATGGCGTCTGCCGTATACATGTACGTGTACACGGTAGTATGTTTATTGCACATCTGGGATTGCTTTGCTGAAGACGCGTTAACTCACATTAAAAAACATTCCAACATGGCTAAGGAGTTCCCCCCAGATGCAGGGCAACTCATGGTTAATGGATAACCTTAAACCAATATGCTCTATGGCCCGAATGGCCAACATCCTACGTTCTAGCGAAGCGTAGTGTTTGCACGTTATTTGAACTCGAGCTAGTGATAATGGTGGAATCACTAATGCAAACTATATGCACTAAATGCCTCTCTCCTATTTTAGGCATGAACGATGTACGTTGCCAGACTCAAGAGAGTTCTACTCCCTGTTCTTGTTGTTCTTGCCATCGTGGTGTTAACACGAGTATTCAGGACGGATGGACCAGCTTCTGTTCTTAAACAGATTGACACGGATTGGAAGCGGTTTACACACCTTAGCCACAAAGACTCCATGAATGGCACAACATCGAGAAGGTTCACTCAGGCACTGAATTACACGGAGCGTCTGAGGGCTGCCTACGCGCCAACTACGGGGCATGTCAATCCCCACAATTTCAGGCTTGTTCTTGACGAGCCCTGGGCTTGCCTGGACCCTCAGACTGAGTCCGCCAAGCGTGTCTTCCTTCTGGTGCTCGTGGCGAGCGCTCAGGATAACTTCAAGCGGAGGCAAGCCATCAGAGAAACCTGGGGCAGCCCTCGGGAGCTGGAGGGGCTGCCCGTTGTGACATTGTTTCTGCTCGCGGCCAAGGGAAATGTCTACCACCACAAGGTTGTTAAGGAGAGTGCGGAGCACCATGATCTCCTGATGGAAGACTTCGTGGACAGCTACAAGAACCTGACCCTGAAGACCATGATGGCCATGAAGTGGGCCAGTACCCACTGTCCGCAGGCCTCATTTGTCATGAAGACAGACGATGATATGTTCGTCAGCTATCGCAATCTCCTGGACTACGCAGCTGTCATGGGACCGTTTACCGCCAATCTAGCCCTTGGTTTTGTCATAGCAGGTCAATCTCCAATCCGCAAACCTGACAGTAAGTGGTACATGCCGAGAGACCTCTACCCGGGGGATGCATATCCTCCCTGGCTGTCTGGAGGAGGTTTCGTTGTCTCTGGTGACGTACCGGGGAAGGTTTACGACGCGTCTCTGGACATCAGGTACCTTCATCTAGAAGACGTCTTCGTGGGCGTGTGTTTGGACAAGCTGAATATCAAACCCATCATGAACCGTCAGTTTAGCAACTCTCGTATCAAGTACTCGTACTGTAGATTCCGCTACGTGATTACTGCCCACTCTTATGATACAGTGCAGCTGAAGTTTATGTGGGAAGATCTGCTTGTTGAAAAGCCGTGTTGGCTATGGACATAGAGTTATGAGAAGTAGCACGATAATATTATCTCTTTGTTAACAGTACTCGTTGAAGAATTTAGTTGCTCCCCTATTGGTCGTGCTATTTAGCGTCAATAAAGCGTCAACAAGCGTCAACATACACGATTATCGTCAACAAAACGTGAACAATTTGAAAATGCACATTTAAGCTTCCCAAAAGCTATCATCGTATTCAACTCTCGCATCTCGTATCATGTGGGAAATTTGGGGGAATTCTTGTTTACAATCCCACATTACAACGGAGTTTTATTGCGACAAAATTACGGTGACCGGGCGCCGCCATCTTTGTTTTCTCTTTTGCGCATGAGCGATTGTACCATGTCCCAGAAAAACAAAATGGCCGCCGGGGGAAAAAACACCGTTGATGTCGTCCTTTTTGGCTTGCAAATGGAACGCTTTACTTTAAAATAATACGTTTAAAATGATCCTAGGAGACAATTGAATATTGTGAGCATATTTTTTAAGCTTAAAATGACGCTTGTCGATGCTTAATAGCACGACCCTTTCCATAAACACATTTCAGTTCTTCCTTTGAAGGGATAAAAGAGACTGGGGAAAAACCACCTAGACATTGCTTCAGATAATGCAAGATTGTGCAATATTAGTGAAATTTACATTTAACAATCCGTTAACATTAATGTTATCACGCGAAAAATATTCAAATAAGCCCGGGTCGGGTTGATGAGTGGACTCCAAGTTCACTTCCGCTTCTTCGAATTCCTTAAAATAAGAGGGGAGTACATAATGAACTGGGATGACGTCTTATTTTGCAAGGTGGCTTGTGAAATTCATTAAATATTGTCAACGTCCGTAAGCTATGCATGACCTTCAATAGAATCCTTATCATAACTCCAGAAAACCGTCCTTTTCTATGTTTTGTTTTAAATTACATTTATGCTGCTCGTGAGAATTGATACTTACTTTTCCACAACAGGTAGGCCTACTTAGCATAAAATTTTGCTCGTTTTTATACACCTTTTTTTGAGATACTCTGTGGAGCAGTTATACATAATATGAAAATTATTTAGGAATCCCGGGGTAGAGGATTCCGAACCATCACTGAACATTCTTTTTGGGAAAAAAGATATCAAGAATGAAAGCGCATCATCATTTCTACATTGATGTATGTCGACAGACCAACAATTACAAACAGCGCCCTCTGCCATTGATGTTAGCTGTTAATAAATGACATGACATGCCTTGCATTGTGGAACTACATTGTGGAATTGAATTGTTTAATATCTGCATAATAATCAGCTCAGTATTTAGAAATACCGAACACTGATGTTCAAATATGACGAATAAACATTACGAGCTTGACACTGTTTTGCGGAAATTGGTGAAACCAATAAGATATCATAATTGAGAAACATCACCAGAGGGCGCACTTTGCGCATGCTAAGTTAATGTCAGTTTTGTTCATTCCAAGCTTGTTGCTGGATCATAATGGAAATCTGGACTTTCACAGGAAATTGACCCTCAGTCATTCAGTACAAACCAATGGTTTTCCTGTACATGTATTTCATATTGGACATACACGCAACTAGGATCTGTTTTATAAAGGACAGGGCAAACTTGCACAGAAAACACAAAGTGAGCAATTTGACTCAATATCGTAACAATTGAGTCATTTTGTCCGTGTAGTGAGACACTTTGAGCCAAAGTGTGTCACTATACGGACAAACTGACTCATTTTTTTACAATAATGAGTCTAATTACTCACTTTGTGTTTTCTGTGTGCTAGGCCTACCACATTGTTCAGTAGGGTACAAAATTCAGAACTCATCGGCAGCCCTACAATCTATTCGCTTTTTCGTTTGATAAACAAATGGTATTTTTTTTTAAGGTGGATTGTGTCCCAGTTTACAGGAACACGCACCATTCTTAAATGCCTTTGACATGAATCACCGCTGCGAACCTCCTTTTTTTTAAAGTGTAAAATGTTGGTACAATGTATGCAATAAGTGAAGTGTGAAATAGTTCATGGTCAAAATATATCTAATCTTGCCACATCCATGTATAAAATTAATGAAATTATCGGCTGGCAGCATGAAATATAAGAATCCAGTCTCTGACGATACGAAACGGATATCTTACAAGCGGAATAAGGGAAGGTTTAAGCCTCATAACATTATGTGCAGCCCCTGGATTATCTTACGTCTGCTTATCAATAATGCTACAGTACGTGCATGTTCTTATATCCGGTCTAAGCCTCTGTATACTGATGACGTCACACTTTGTTTACATGTGCACTTTCCTATGGAGCCAGTGGGGGCCCACGGTCCACTGAGCACCATAGGAAAGCACACACGTAAACAAAGTTTGACGTCATCAGTACAGAGGCTTATAGAATAAAAAAAAAATGACTGCCCCAGACTACGATGGCCCAAAATGGTATTTGTGGAAAATAATTTACTGGTTCACGAGCCTCTGTGGCATTGGTTGGACTACCGAAAAAAACTTGCCCTGGCGACAGGCCGGAATGTTTCGTTCGCTAGCAGATTTTTTTCGCGGAATCCTTGGTAAACATTGTTCGTGAAATATGGTCGTTCCTAGCAATTACCGCTGTAATCACAGTTTTACCCATAAAATATCGCTTCTTTCAAGACTTGTTTCATTTGCGAAGAAGCATGTCTTCGGTCGGTACCATGAAGGATCATCCAGATCGAGTTATGTTGCACTGTACAACTTTTGAGGTGTCAGAAGGCTGGGAAGGTTAATACAAAATTATGGTAAGCTATAGAAAGCCCTCACAAAGCGCAAACCTCCGCCAAGGTTAAACAATTCCCTGTCATTATTGTCAGTACACCCAAAGAAATACTCGCATAGGCCCTAAATGGTGTGGAACCCTTTTTAAAAAAAAATCCTGGATCCAGGCCCAGATCAGGATCACTTCAAGAAATCTAATCGATTTGTACGATACCGAAGACCACCCCTAAACATTATTTTTTTTCATCAAAATCCAACTTTTTGAGTTATCTTGTTTACAGCCAAACGAACCAACCAACAAACCAACCAAATCCGATGAAAACATAACCTCCTTGGTAGAGGTAATGACTGGTGCCGGATGATTTTGACTACCTCTTGCCGCAAGGGGCCAGTATATTTCACTATAAAAAATAACCGAAATAATCTAAGTTATAACATAAATGGCTATACTCGATTACTGTACGGCTTCAATCATAAATACCACTAACATATCTTGTTTTGGATTTTGAGGACAACTTGGAACCTGTCGGCCTCCGTACGATCTAATTAAAGACAGCGTGTCTATTGTGTGCTTAGCTTCGATGTGTAATGTCTACTTGTGCCGAGATTACCACGGATTTAAATTCCTCTTAACTGTTAAATGCGTACGTGTGTGCACTTTAAGGACTGCAACGATAGAAAGCGAGAGAGAGAGGGGGAGCAGAGTGACGCGCATGCGCCTTTAGCGCGAGGGTAATAGCGGCACGTTGGTGAAACTTGACCCCATCAGACGGTGTAAGTTGCACATTATCCCGCGGAGATAAATTACACAAATATTGACAGCGATCCTAAGAAGGCCCGTCCTCGAGTAATTCATACCAGAGCCCGTGGAGGATTTCAACAACATCTTAGACCATTCCTAGAATCTAATGCTGCGTTCCCTGTTGACACAATTGGATCTCATTTCGAGAGTGTTACTATCTTTAAACGACACGGGTAAATAACGAACAGGGGGAGGTATTTGCACGGTACGCAATATCAAGATGCCGGTCCGGGTATTATTTCTCTGAAGATACCACATCCACACAGAGAACTCGTCACAGGATTTTCCGAGGTTTCTTTCTCAATCAATCCAGCAATTTCCGCTTTAGATGCGGACTACTCGTCCGAGTATCGATCGCGCGAATGTTACACGCAGTCGTGCGCGAAACAAACTGGCCCTCCTTTTTACTGTTGCACGCGCGCGTCTTTACCCGCGTTGCCCAAACGTACGCTTCACGATCCTACACTGGGATCGATGTCCGTCCCCCTAGGTAGTGGTCAACAACATGACATGATTAGGAAACAAGGACACGCGGCTCGGGTGCGCTCAGGTGAGGCGGAAGTTGCCGTGGCAGGTTCGATACAATCGGTACCCACACTGGATGAAAATGAAGAGGGCACAGAAAAGATTCACAATCGACAAGACTTGATGGTCGGATCATGTTCCTCAGTGTTCAGGGGGGAGCACTTACCGCCAGATCTGTAATGTGGCTGGGTGCTAATGCGGCTATCCGCGTCCCTGACTCAAGGTGGTTGGGCTTTTAGTCCGCCGATCTCAACGTGAGCTTACATATTCGTCGAAAGACCCAATCTACCATTTGGAAATCCTCACAATTGGCCTATGCAATGTTTGCATGATTGCTTGTCAAGGATAAACTCAATTGTACGAAGGGATTGCATGGAGCACAGGGCAAGGAAACAGGTCATGACATAATGAAGAGGTTTAATTTACAGTAATGTGCTGCTTAGAAAAGGTTGCGCGAAGTCATTTGCTAGGCAAAGTGATCGATGGCCTACACTAACGCTATTGCAATGAGAACCCAAGGGGTGTTCGTTAAAATAAAAAGCCAAGTTCGCAAGAGCGGCATCAAACCGAACGCAAGTCTTGTAAGAGCCTGTTAATTGGTTGTTTTTTTAGACATCGGTAGCTGTTATTCACGAACTTTAGTACATCAATAACCGACACACATTCGTAATTGAAATGAATTCCTTTTAACCATGTGACACCGAGGATACATTCCGGGTACTTAGGGTGATAAATCTAGCAGTTATGGACTTATTGACTGTGATGGAAATCGTGTGTCTAGAAATCGCAGTAAGGTATCGGGCATGGTTAGTAGCTGGTGAGTTAATTGGATCGGAAGGGTCAAGGAATTCCTTGGAAGTCTATCCCCAGTGCCCTTCTGCAGCCAGTTGCTTGTACGAACTCTTTGCATTTGCACTCCTCGTAAATTGTCAGTCGTGCAGTTTCAGGAGTACATATCTACCTGCTTCAACGACTGACGAGAAAGTACCGACCTTTTTCCTTTAAATCTATGTGTGGATCTCATTCACCGCAAATCAGGCCACGGATTGTAAATGTGAGACGGACTGCTCTAGTTCCAAAAAGGTTTCGATCTGATCCCCTGTTCTCCACTTGTCTACAACAGAGCCGTGCTTTCGATCTTAGGCCTTTCTGATGAAGAGTAGACGACCAAGCATCGCAAAACCTAGGATGGGATTTCGTACCCATCTCACGTCGCACTGAAGCCGCTTCCAGCACCTCAGCCGGAAATCTCCAGCTCTGCGGCCTCACAGCCGAAGTATACAAAGAAAACAAGAAGCCCACGCGAAGTCCTTCGTGATCTTGATGGCGATCTGGTGGAAAATGTCATCATAAAGCCAGTGATTCAGTTTTAAATTCTATTTTTTTTGGTCTTAAAAAGGAGGTCTACCTAACCTCGTTTTTTCCCTGTGGTATCGGCCTCAGCTCCACTTCTTGATTTTTAGTCTCAGTAGAGTGACTGTGGCTCGAAAGGTCCATAATTATTTCGCTTCAGACACATGAAACTGTATTGTACAAGGTCGAGATTGTTGAGCATTTCCTTTTCCATTAAAGGCTTAATAATGATTTTGGAACAAGCGAGGTTTGGTAAACATGTTCTGCTTAGGCTTTGGGGTGCAAGTGTATCTGCAGCCCCACCGACTGTGCAACAACAGTAACTGTTGCATACATGGGTGGGTAAAACTTAGTGCATTAAAATCAACGAAGTGCTCTTAATGGCAGTCAGAGACAGCCGTTCCATCCAGTGCGTTAATGGTGTTTGCCGACCCAAGCGATTTGAGTCAACACATCAAACTACCATCAGTCATTATTGGAAAAGAGACAAAAAGAGAGATGAAATCTCCATAGCAGAGGGATAAATATTGTCCTTGGCTAACACGTAAAGAGTCACGTGCCAGGGTTTGTTGAACGCACCAAAAATGTAAAACTCATTTACACAGCAAGTAAAAGGGAAAATCGAGGATTGTGTAAATGTGCTTTTGGCGATTCCAGATTTAGAGATTGCATGGATGGATAGATTTAAAGGCGTGGATAACGATTTAATCCAATGGATGTCACCAATTGACGTGTTGGGCTGAGATTTCTTCAATGCTGTATTCAAATAAAACAAGACAAATAACTCAAGGTATAACTGTCCAAGTGTAGAGCCTAAAATTTAGTGGCATAACTGGAAGCTAGAGAAAATGTGAAAAATATAGCAAGAAAGAAAACTCAAATGTCGAATGGGTCGAATGGGCATTTAACATGAACGCAATGTGCTGAAAATAACAATCATCACATTTAGCCACGCCTTCTCACGAAGTTTACTGAATCACGCCAAT